AGCCCGCCTGAGAGAGAGAGAGACATCACCGCGCTCAGTACAGAGCTGCCACGCCCCGCCGCCCACCTCGCGCTAGCGGCCCGCCGCCGCCCGCCGAAGCGCGGAGCAGCTCGGCGAGGCCTTTGTTGTCCCCGCAGGTCACTCCTTAGTCCATTCATTGCTGGAGCGTGACTAGCCGACTGTGGTGAGGAGAGCAGCTGGGCGCGACGCCTTTCCCTCGCGCAGGCTCCGAGAGTCTAGGAAGTGTCTAGGAAGTGTCTAGGAAGTGTGTAGGAAGTGTCTAGGAAGTGTCTAGGAAGTGTCTAGGAAGTGTCTAGGAAGTGTCTAGGGGAGGCCTTTCCCTCGCAGGCTCCGAGTCGTCTAGGAAGTGTCTAGGAAGTGTCTAGGAAGTGTCTAGGAAGTGTCTAGGGAGTGTCTAGGAAGTGTCTAGGAGGTGTCTAGGGAGTGTCTAGGAAGTGTCTAGGAAGTGTCTAGGGAGTGTCTAGGGAGTGTCTAGGGAGTGTCTAGGAAGTGTCTAGGGAGTGTCTAGGAAGTGTCTAGGAAGTGTCTAGGAAGTGTCTAGGAAGTGTCTAGGAAGTGTCTAGGAAGTGTCTAGGAAGTGTGTGGGAAGTGTCTAGGAGAGGCCTTTCCCTCGCACAGGCTCCGAGTCGTCTAGGAAGTGTCTAGGAAGTGTCTAGGAAGTGTGTAGGAAGTGTCTAGGAAGTGTCTAGGAAGTGTCTAGGAAGTGTCTAGGAAGTGTCTAGGGGAGGCCTTTCCCTCGCACAGGCTCCGAGTCGTCTAGGAAGTGTCTAGGAAGTGTCTAGGAAGTGTGTAGGAAGTGTCTAGGAAGTGTCTAGGAAGTGTCTAGGAAGTGTCTAGGAAGTGTCTAGGAAGTGTCTAGGAAGTGTCTAGGAAGTGTCTAGGAGAGGCCTTTCCCTCGCACAGGCTCCGAGTCTAGGAAGTGTCTAGGAAGTGTCTAGGAAGTGTCTAGGAAGTGTCTAGGAAGTGTCTAGGAAGTGTCTAGGAAGTGTCTAGGAAGTGTCTAGGAAGTGTCTAGGAAAGGCCTTTCCCTCGCACAGGCTCCGAGTCAAGGCGAGTCATGCGGCGCTCGAACTCGGCCTGGTGGGCGCAAGGTGAGGTGAGGGGTGTAAGGTACGGTGAGGTGAGGTACTACGCTCCTCCACACACACACGATATTGTGGGGCGAGGGCCAGGCTAGACGACAGGAGCCGCACGGCATTCAAGGTAAGGTGTGTGTGTGTGTGTGTGTGTGTGTGTGTGTGTGTGTGTGTGTGTGTGTGTGTGTGTGTGTGTGTGCGTGTGTGTGCGTGTCTGTGTGTGTGTGTGTGTGTGTGTGTGTGTGTGTGTGTGTGTGTGTGTGTGCGTGCGTGTGTGCGTGCGTGCGTGCGTGCGTGCGTGTGTGTGTGTGTGTGTGTGTGTGTGCGTGTGTACCTGGTAGGCGCGCTGGCAGCGCTTCGTACACCGCGGCTGCACCTTGCCGCCGCGGCCGGAGGCAGGCTCGATACCTAAACTCGACGCAATCTCCGCGTGATCTCGAGCCGATCTCGGGCCGATCTCGGGCCGATCTCGCCGCCGGTGGGCTGGATCTCGGCTGGATCTCGAGGCTGTATCTCGGCTGTATCTCGGCTGTATCTCGGCTGGATCTCGGCTGGATCTCGGCTGGATCTCGGCTGGATCTCGGCTGCCGGCGGCGTGGCGGCTTCGGAGGCGCGCGGCTTCGAAGGCGGCGGCGCGGGTGGCGGTGTAGGGGAGGGGGGGCGGGCAGAAGAAGGTGTCGTCGTCGAGGAAGAGGGTCACCTAATCAGGTAACCATAGTTGGGGTATCAATGAGGCAAATAATTTAAACAAAACAACTCGGCAAAGAATTCGGTTCATTAATTAAGGCCGAGGAAGAGGGGTCACGAGGAGGCGCACAGCGTAGATATGCCTTGTGTTGCTGTGTGCTGCACGCCCTGCGAGCGGGGCGGGGTGCGCACTGTCCCTCTGTGTTCGTGCGTCGCCCATCTCTCCTGGAGATGTCTGCTCTATTTTTTTAGAAGAGGGGTCACGTTGAAGGGCGCGGCGGCGAGGTTGGCGAGGCGCCCCGTGCGGGAGAGGAGCTTGGTGGCGAGGGAGGACCTGTTCACAGGAGGGAGGGGGGGGGGGGGGGGGTGAAGAGACGCCCCGCTGACAGGCCGAGAGGGGCGCGGTTTGTGGCGACAAGGGCGGGGGGAGGACTTGTTTCGAAAGTTGGCAGACTCGAGTTTCGTCAGCATGGCGGACACTTGGCCGCCCTCCCCGATGGCCTCTGCGGCGCCCGCGAGCAGCGACCGCGCGTCCGACGTCGGCAGCACGAAGTCGAAGAGCGAGCCCGACGGCACTCCCTCCACGCCGTAGTGCGGCGCGCTGTGCGCGGCCTGCAGCCCCGGCCGCTTCGCCGTCCAGAGGCGCATCGCCCGGTCGACGACGTGGCGCGGCGCCTCGGTGAAGACGCAGCTGCCCACGCCAACCTCGCCTGCACCGCACACCGCGGAAGGGCGCGTCGGTGCGCGGCGAGGTGGTGCGGAGCGGCGGGCGGGTCGCGCGGGCGGGTCATGCCGCGTGCTCGGCGCTTGCAGAGCTGCGCCGGCAGCAGCGCGCGTGCGGGGTGGCGGGCGCGCGGGGCCGGACGGCCGAGGGGGGCGGCGCGAGCAATGGCCGAGGGCGCGGCGGCAGCACAGAGGCGAGGCTGTGCACGCGCGCGCCCGAGAGCAGCAGCGTCGCGACCGACGTGTGGAGCTCGCCCCACTCGTGAGGGACGAGGCCGAAGCCGGGCTTGTCGAGCGCGAAGGTGACCATGTTGCGCGTCCAGCAGACGCCGACGGTGGGCTCGGCCATCGCAAAATCGTGTGCTTCTCTTGTTCTCTCGTGCACGCCGTGAGAAAATTTGCACCTTGGGCTGTGAGGTGGGGGGTGCGGTGCGGTGCGTTTGTGTGGTGTGTGTCCCTTCGCTTGTTTCATTAACAACGAAGGCTAGCTAAAAAAATGGGCAGAAAGTTGCCCCACAAAAGCAGCCCTATGACTCCCACTCCGACGCCCCCCCCCCCCCGCACACACACACACATTGGAACACTAAAAATCTCTCACACACACACACACACACACACACACACACACACACACACCACCACCACCACAACTCAACTCTAACACTTACACGTCATTTGGGGCCTGCGACATTTGATGTTAGTGGCAAAACCGCGGAACCGAAAATGGCGTTTAATTTTGCGCACCTGCTGTCCGCCGCCTGCGGCGGCGCTGCGCGCCGCCTACGCGCGCTGCGCGCGCGTTTTTTCTCTCTTTTTCTGTCTTTTTCACAGTGTAATTTTACCGAAAAAATGCCTTTTTTTTCCCTGCCCGTCGTGAACCACACGCCGTTCCCACATGAACGATGGACTCCCGCAAGCGAAAGCCCCCCGACTGGGGTGGCTTTGAGCGGGAGGCAAGAGCGCAGGCATGCTGGGGCCAGATTCTCGGCGATGCGACCGGCTGTCCGCCTGTAGAGGCGTCGTCCAGAAAGCTCTTCAAGCAGCGCTTCTGTGATTTGTGCCGAAACGGCGGCCTGACGGTTCCCGCGGCTCGCCTTCGCATAGTCGGCAACGGCTCGTCGGCGGTCTCGAACGACAAGTCCGGTGGTGCATGGAACATGAGGCGCGACACGTCCCTCTGGCCCGAGCACCGCGTAATCAACCAAAATGCAGTGCCAAAGATGGTGCTGCTCCGCAGAGGCTCTCTCGAGGAGCTGCCGGGCCTCCTCCCCTACCCGTGTGCGCCGTCCGAGGTGGTGCGACTCCTGGTGGGCGCCCAAACCCTCCGGCCAGCTGCCGTCCCCGCGCTGGCGTCCCCGCCGTCGACGTCACCCCTCCCCCCCGCTCTGCCTCACACCTCCACCTCCTCTGCGCTCGGATCGCCGTCGGACGGATCGCCGTCGGACGAGCCTTGCGACGAGTCGGGAGCCGTCGATCCGACGGCGCACGCTTCTTCACCTGACTCTCGGGGTTCTGACTCTCGGGGTTGCACCGGGGCGGCGGCGGCGGAGGTGAGGGTCGCGGCGCCCACGGGGCGCATGGGGCCGGAGGGACCTGGGGGGCCGGCGGGGCCGGCGGGGCCGGAGGCGGGGCTGGAGGCGGGGCTGGAGGCGGGGCTGGAGGCGGGGCTGGAGGCGGGTCCGCCCTCGGCCGCCACAGCGGCACGGCTCTCCGAGGAACGGGCTCACCCCGCGCCTTCTGCCGCCGCCGCCTTCTCCGCCCGCGCTGCCGACGTGTGCGCGGCGTCCACGCTGGCCCGCCTCTCCCTAGATGCGGGATCGGCTGGAATGCTGCCTTCACGCGCCCTATCGCCCTATATCACGGATCGAATAACGGACGCCAGGGGCTACTGAGCGCGCCTCTCGAGTACCCTACTAGGTTAGCATCGCCGGCCTGGAGACTGCACCGCCCGGCAAAGCAGCCGGCAGCCCCCCAAGCAAGCCGGCTGCTGCGAGCGTGGCCGCAGGGGCGGGGCACCTCCGCGCACGCGAGGGCGGGCCGCCGCGCAAGGTTCGACGAGATTCGACGGGATGTGGGTGGGCGGGAGGGTGTCTGGGAGGGTGTCTGGGAGCGGGGGGGTCTCCTCATGTTCATGTGCACCGGGCCTTGCACTCTGAATGCCGGGCCAGCTCCCGCCTGTCTGGGTGTGGAGCTGCGAGGGCTTCCTGCCCCTTGCCCCACCACCTTGTGTGTGTGTTGAGACGCCTCACCTCACCGTAGGTTCGACGAGCCTCGTCGGCGCGCCACCAGCCAGCCCCCCCCCCTCCCTTCCTCGGGGCGCGCGCTCTCTCTCCCAGCCACGAACAATTCGTTCTCCACCAGGCGGCGGTCGCCGCCCTGATTGCGCGGGCCCGCTGGATCCGCGAATCAACCCCCTTCCCCCCCCCCTTCGCCCCACCACCACAACAACCACCACCACCACCGGCGGCGGCGGCGGGGGCGGCGGCGGCGGCGATGCCGCCGGGGATGCCGGCGTCCGTGCATTCTCTGCCGGTGGCGCTGGCCGTGCCGATGCCGGCGATGCCGATGCCGGTTTTGTGCCGCTCGCCACCCCGCCACACATGGCCGGGACACGTCCACACGACATGTCCGAGCCACATGTCCCATAGGTCGCTTTCCCGGTGCCGCTGCACCTGTTGCCCCCCGGAGCGGTGAGCTGGCTCGCCCTCCTAGTCGCCCTCCCCCCTTCTCCCGCTCCCCTCCAGCCACTTCTGCCCTCCCTCCTTCTCCCGCGCCTATCCAGCACTTCTGCGACCTCGCGATCTCTCATGTCATATATCGTCGTGAAGTGCGTGACTTCTTCCGAGAGCGGCTTGGCGAGCATGGTCTTGTCTTCCTCAAGCTTGAATGCGATCTTGACATCATCGTCCAGGGGGTGGAGAAGCGAGCTGAGGCTTACTTGAAGACAAAGGGACAGACTCTCGAGGACTACTGGAATGGACCGCAGCCCGCGTCTGTCGGAGGCGGCGTGTGTTTTCGTGAGAAGTATGGTGAGTACAGCTTTGAGAATTACAAGAAGATGCAGTTGGAGATTTACCTCCAAGGTATGCAGCCGTTTGCCCACGATGAGAGCGACACTATTACAGTGGACGTCACTTCGCGTGACAACAGTTGTTTCGAACGCATCAATGCTGCTCTTGGGCTACCTGCTCGCACAACCGATGTTGACATGGGCATGCTGCA